TAGCAATATATACGAGTTTACTCAAGCTAAAAACCTTTCGACAAACATAGAATCACCAACCATATAATTAGTTCGTACAATGGACTATCCTCCTATTATTCATTAAGCTATAAAGCTCACCCTGAGCGTACAGACTGGCTTTTCCTGTCTTGTACTGCGTGACTTTATGTAGAGTGTGTCTTCGACATCTCTTGGCCTTGCAAAAAGTGCGGCGCTGTTTTGGTATGTTAACCTGAATATAATAGCGAGAAATTTAAGCGAGATTAACTGAAAGACCCGAAATGCCGATTGCTGTTAATAAAACCTAACTTGAATCAAAGATGGCTAAGGATAGAAAGGGATTGAAAACGCTATCTCAAGTTTTCCCACCATTTTGCTCGCACGATCGAAAGAAAGAGAACCAAGCAGTGTCCAGTTTTCCCAATATTGCTGCATAACACGGTTATTTCAAGTCGAGGCTTATTCCACAGGAACACCAAGTGGCATTCGCCCGTGCTCTTGATTAACTCAAAAATAAAAGAATCCTCCCAGTCTTTGTCTAGCGGTAGTACTTTTTCTTCTTAGGCTAATTACTAATGTGGGTACTCCCACATTTTAAATTACAAGTTTTGGACTCACGACGAAAAGCCAAATATTTTTTTGTCTATAAAAATATCGCTAAGGGCTGTCCTTGTAGCACTGTTACATCGGACATGATTTTCTCGTGCCCAAAAAAATGTTTAAATGATCAAAATAAGCCAAATATGCATATTATTTCAGCGGTTATACTTCTACATGAGAAATTTCTGCAGTTTGATTGGCTTAGAGCAGTGACCAGTATTTCAGCTTAATTTGAAATACCTACATGTGAAAATTACAAACGTTTTGTGGGCAGTAGTATAAACAAATAATAGCATGATTTGTACGTGATATTTGGCATAAATACCACTTATGATATTTCAAAATTGTCTCAAATTTCACTCGCCTAACGGCTCGTGAAATTACATATAACAATTTCGAAATATCACTCGTGGTATTTATGCCAAATATCACTACAAATCATGCTATTACCTATACTAATTGTTTCGGTAAAACGCAATATTATGTTTAACGCTAACGCTAAAAGCCATGCAAGAGAGAACGCTCTGCTCGTAGGGTGTGTGCGTGTGTGTATTCTGCCCACAGGCAGGTCCTTCCTTATACCCCCGGTAGTTCTCGATCTAAGGCGAGCCTCTTGACAGCTACGTAAGGGCTGCCATTCTTTACTCTGTCCAGCATTCCCACTCGAGGTCTTTCAGGTGGTCTCGCAGCGTACGCTACATATATCAGTGTAGAAAAAGGTGAGCACTTTTTTTTTAATGAGAGGTAGAAATATAAGAAGAGGAAATAGACGAGAAACTTGAAATTCAGTAGAGCCTCACATATTTTAGTTATCTGTACATCATGAACCAAAATGTCTGTAACCGAGTTTACACTTTTTTGGTACTCCCTTAAATTTAAGTGGTCAAGGCAAATATTATACTTTCATTACGTTATTGCGCCCTATCTAAGATTATTTTACAAACGTTAAGTTTAAGGGGCTGTGTCACGGCAGTCCAGTTCATTTTGTTTAATTTTGCCAATTACTCGCCCTCAACCGCTATGGAACTTAAAGTAAGCAAAGAAATTACATTTAAATGACAAAATCAGAGATCCGAGACAAACAAAGATGTCTCCTGAGCATTATTTTTTAAGTTGCCAGCAGCAGGGATCAACTTTGAAAAACTGTTAGGCTGAACAGTTTTCAAACACCCTAATTTCAATCCGTTTCAATCTTCTTCAGTTTTGCCCATCCGTGGCATCTGTTGTTTCTGTTATGTTATTTCAACCTTCCTTTTAAGTTTTAAGCGGTTATTTTTATGTTTCTCTTAATTTAACAGGCATTTTGTAATTTTCTGATTTGGCTGAATTTCGTATGACATAGCTCCTTTAAGTTTATGCCTACAATATAGTGGATAGCTCTTGCACCTGCACGAAAACCATAACAGATAGGGCTTCTGCGTCGTCTGGCGTTAAAATAAAAAGTTCGACGGAGCTAAATGGCCCGACATTATATTGCGTGAGTCATTACGATAGATGAAACTTGTTCTCAAGTCTAGTGAAAACATTTCTGTCGTTTAAACAAAGCCTTAAGATAAAAGTTACCCTTGCCAATCTTAGAAAGTAGAATTCTATGTAATGGAGGTGTGATCTCCTATGAGAGATTACTGTAAATAAACTCATTCTCGTGTACAGCGCGCTCTTGGTGTAAAGCCGATCTCCTAGCAATTGCACCGCGACCGTTTTCAGTGCAATTAAGCTGCACATTATCAGTCTGTATCTCCAATATTAGTTCCTCCAAGTCTAAGAAAGTCTTTCTTGCAAATCTCTACTCTGACGTGTTGCCGATCTGGAAACTCTAGAGGATTGCGTTGAGGATGGCCGACCACTGATGAAGATAGAGACGGCACCGCTACCCTGGTTTCCTGAAGAGAGATAGGAAATCAAGACAGTATACTTATGTATTCTCATCATCACCGCATGGCATATGTATGCCATTAAATGCCTTAGCAAATATTTTCGAGGAAAATCTTACATGTTTCATCTAACCTGAGACCACGCTCTCTTATTGTTTTTCTTGGTAAATAAGGATTCCGGCGGACGACAGGCCCAATTTTAACGCGAGCCCAATTTTAACGCGACCGCGAAAGAGATAGACCCTGTTTACATGGAGTGGGGGACCCCGGTCTAGTGGGGTAAGTTTCTTTTGTTTTGTGTCCCCCAGAGCGTGAAAACAAAAGAAACCAACCCCACTAGACCGGGGTCCCTCACTCCATGTAAACAGGCCCATAGACTGTATGAGAGATCTTTGAACTGCGCCCTCAACGGACTTGCGTGGACACAGTCTGAAACTGGCAAACAACCTCCCAGTCTTAGAGCGCTTTTCATTTGTCAGAACTGGCCGGCCAGACCATTTCTGTTGTAATAAGAGTTTCATTTTTGATCAAAACTATACAGCCAGACCAGTAAATTCCTAAATAATATGCAAAAGTGCATAGGTTTGGTGGGAAAAATTGTAAAAAAGCCAGGGTTCGGAAGGCCAGTTCTGACTTTTTGAAAGCGCCCTCAGTTCGAGGCTGTCCACGACAACGTCCACCCACTAATTAGCTATAGCCTGCCCATAAACAATTTATAATTCTAGTACAAAAAAAGTGGATTCAATTTGTTGTAGTCCTCGCCCGGGTTGTTAAAACTTTGGACAGCGCTCTCCACCGGATAAATCACTATCCAGCGGATAAATATTGGGGAAACTAAATGCGCTATTCAGTGGATAGAGATTTATCCAGCGGATAGCGTTATCCACCTTTTGAACAACTAGGGGCTGTAGTCCTAGTACTGAAGGTCTCCCATAAGACGAGGATCAACTAAAAAAGGCGGGAAAAAATACTCACTTCGCTGTTTACTTTCAGACCACGAGATTTGGCGTGTTCTCTGTCGTCTCGATGTAATTTTTGGTTGTATCCTTCAACAACATGATTTATTCGGTCGTATGTGGATGGTTTTTCGTGCTATAATGAAAAAACACAGTTATTAATTTTTAACGAAGTTTACACAACAAATTGCACGTACAATGAGTCACTTTCTTTCAAACATTTTTGCAGTTTTCTCTTTTGTCTATTAGAGCCAAATCATTAAAATATACGCAAGAGGTCTATTACTGATAGAGAACAATGAAGAAACTCCTTTTTTTGGTGCTCCAACTCAAACATAGGATTTGCAGAAATGAATATCAAGTCGATCGCTTCGCCTGAAAAGTGCCGAAAAAATATAGCTTGTCCTCGGCGTTCAGATTGTGGGGACTGCGCAAAAAACGTGAGCAGGAAAATCAGCCAAGGTTCCCTCAAATCTCCCTCTTCCTCTCTCCCTATTTTCCCCTACTCTCTGAATTCGCGCCACATTCCATAATCTGAACGCTTGAAGCAGGCTACCGAAAAATACGGAGCGGAGGGGGGGTTAGCGGATACAACCGGAAATACACCTGCGTTCACAGGTGATAATTCGTTTCGTGAATTGAGCAAGATGGTAACTATAACGATAGGCACTGAAACCTCGTTAAATTGTTGATCTAAAATCGTGATAATCATTCCATGAATGTTAAGATTCCGCATTAAATTGTTGATCGTGATAATCATTCCATGAATGTTTAGATTCCGCATTAAATTGTGGATCTAAAATCGTGATAATCATTCCATGAATGTTTAGATTCTGCATTAAATCGTTGATCTAAAATCGTGATAATCATTCCATGAATGTTTAGATTCCGCACAGCAAGACACCCAACAACCAAGCAACAGGTAAGAAAACATAATAACATACTAAAGTCTTTGCAAGAAAATAACTGGTGTCTTGAGTCAGAGCCAAAGACTTCGGTCGTTCCACTTTCCATGTGTTGGCAACACCATCTCCGCCGGAAGTAACAATGTGATTCTTTCTGATTGCCTCCTCACGCTGAAGTGAAAAGAGTAACAGCATAAAGAGTTGGTAATTAAAACAGCAAAATGCGCTCAACTGTGCATGCAACTTATCTTACGTGGACGAACAAGTTTTTAGACCGCTAGGTTTGGAAGAACAGACGCTACACGGGACGTTCAAAGTTAGAAAAGTTCTTTTGGTTAATACAGTCGAAACTCAACGTGCGACCACCTCTCGTAAACCACCGCCTCTCATAAGCCACAAACTTTGTAAAATGCCTAATAGTAGAACTTCTCGTAAGCAACCGTGACAACTTTTGGGGGTCACTTGTTCATAGTTTTTCATTGTTTCTAACCTGTACGTACTAAGAGTACACGGAGAACTTTTAGCGACAACACGGAATTTCATATACCGTAAATAAGCAGGAACATGCAATAAATTCTCTTCCAAAAAGTAGATGTGTCCGAAACCTACTCTCGGCGAGTTAGCCTCCTTGAAGTTTAAGGTTGTCGTAAGCGCCCACAAAATCTTTTCGACTGTAATCAGTAAGGTTGTACATGTAATTTACCAAATCCCACGGCTGGGAAAAATATTGAACGACTGCAAACTGGGTCTACTAAGGCCAACACCAAAGACTGAAGTCTTAAGTAGACCGAAAAGCCAAGATCGAAATTGACTTGTCTGACTACGGTTGCTTCTATGATGCAAAGTAAGCGCAAATGAGTGACTACCTTACAACACTGGGTCCATTGACCAACAGTTTCTTGAGGGTTGTATGTTTTAAGACCATAGGATGACATTTTATATCCGCTGCCTGGATAGTCACCCATGTTGGTTAACTCAGTTTGACTTTGAAAAAGATCGACCGTTAAGAAGGTTTCGTCTACTCGAGATTCTGTTTGTTTTGAGCTGCTCTGAATGGTTTTGAACTGTTTTAAAATGAAAGATGAATAAACGTTGCCACGCAACACGCATTGTACTACAAAGAGTCAATACCTGCAGGTTTAATAAGCTTATTGTACGCAGGGATGATACGCAACAATGATTCTCACCACTGTACGGCAATTAACACGTTATTTATATGGAGTGATCACTTGACTGAGTTTTCACAAATTTAAGAAGGATACTCTCGGGAAGGGTACTCTCGGGATCCGGAATTAACAGTGCGGGATTCGGGAAAACGCAAACTCGATTTCTTGACAGAATAAGGGATTTGACTTCTAAGTTCTGGATTCGGGATTGTCCCGAAAACGGAGCAGGAATGCGGGATCAAGATCCCCCTTTTAGTCCCTGTAATAAGCACCTCGTTAACACTACCCTGCCATGCAATGGTTACATTAAAAAATATATATTTACACTCAAAACAAACTGGTCTTGCTCTTTTTTTAAAGACACCATACGTTTCGCTGTTTCGACGTTGTCGTTTCAACGTAACCTGGAATAAATTGAACCCATGCAGTGGATGAATTTCTCTAAAAAAAAATTTTCAATTAGTTCCCTGTATGTATTTTCTATGTAGCAGTTCTTTTGAGTTGCTCTGTTACCCTCAAGGAAAGAAAAAGACCACTTTATAATCCACATTATTCAAACACTAAGAAAAGTTCGGCTTGCCCCAAATATCAGCTTCAACCAGAGTACAAATTGCACACTTGGCTTCTATAAACAATTCAGCTCAAAAGTGGTTTAGGATCATTTTTCGTTGCACACAGGCACACATCTATTTTGTGTAGAATTAATTTCTCCAGTGTGTTATTCCAGATAACATTGACTGTCACCATCTCACAGGAGGTTGTTTGGGTTTCAATTTTTCTCCTACTTCTTGAATCTTCTACTTCAGCTTTAGAATTTCCTTTTTAAAATTTTGCCACATATAAAGCATTGTAGTCTACAGATACCAACATTTTTGGTGTCTTTTTCCTGAGAACCAATTAACCCATTCGCCCCTGAACCGCCCGTAACCGCCCATGGGGATCCACGTCCTTTCTACCCTTTGTGACGTCATCAGTTTTAATGGTCAAGGACAATTTTGCCCGCTAACTTGTGTAGAGTGAAGGGATCTTTCAAACCATACCAGAATGAGCACAATTCAGTCAAGGACACCGGAGAAAGAGGCAAAAAACCATGTAACATTCACCTGAAAATCTCCATGAAAATCTTGTTCCATTGCCCACCTTCCTTTCACCTAATCCTAAGATCCTAAAAGCTTTCCTATAAACTATTCTCACCAAAATGAAGCCTACTAAATGCCCAGCAAGAGAAAAAAAAATGAGGCAAGAAAAGCAAAAAAAGAGGAGAGGAGAGAAAGCGAAAAGTAAAAGTCAAGACTGCTGTGTCACTTTAAACCCAAAAACTATGTCGAAATTTTGCTTTCTGCGCATGCCCGAACTTCGCAAGCTGATATTTTGCATCTGGATCAGAAGGCAATGAAGTGCACGACCTGTAAAGCGGTTTGTGGTAAGTTTTAGCTCTTTATAGCACGACAGTGACCAGAAAACCACTCGACTAGCTTCAAAACGCGTTTTTCGGCAAAATCTCCAGGAGCGAATGGGTTAATAGAAGTTTCTAAAATTTCAGGCCTGACTTGCTCATGACTGCCAGGCTTTAAGAGAACTAAACTGAATGATCCTTGGATTTACTTCATTGGAATAATTACCAATACCTTTTCAAATAGCTTTAATAAACAGTTTTGTCAAAACTCGTTTTCAAAAAGGTAATTAATACATGTGAGTGCCAAATCATTGGGAATTGACAAAATGAAAGTACAGTGGCATAGAGGTCAGGTGCCTGCCTGCAAAATTTGTATACAAAACCAGTACGGTCCCTTATTTCATCTTCTCTGGCCAATGCCATTGTTACTCATCTCCGATGCCCATGTGGTGGGCATCACAAGCTATCATACCCCACTGTCTTTAAAGAAAAATAAGAGACTGCAGGTCATGTCTAAGTCATTGTTGACAGAATATGTAAAAAAAAAGGTGGAAAAATATGGCAAAATTAATAGAATGATCAAATCTGGCTGCTCAGCAAGGCACATTAGGTATGTCTCATAGAGTTAGCTAAGCAGTTGGATACCATGTTTAGTAATAACACAGCAACTAAGCTTTTCTAGTTATACCCCTTGAATATTCAGATTATTTAAACATAATAAATCTAATTTAAGATACTACAATATAATACCAGTAGTTTTAGCCTTAAAATCTAAAGCAAAAGAGACAGATTACCTCGAAATTAAAGCTTATTAAACAAAGCCCTGAATGAAAATGCAGGATCATAAAAGCTTTAGGCACATAATCTATATAATTATAATCTTTATTGTGATTGGAATCGAAACATTACTAAGCAGAACGTATTATTTAACATCACTAAAGCATGTAGCACAGCAAGTAAACTAAGTGCAAAGAATAGAAAAAACATACCTGGTATCGTTTGAGCTGAAACTGGTTGTAAGCCTGAAAAAAAAAAGAACGATTGGAAGCTGACGCGCGTGGAATGATTTGTAGAATTCTAATTGAAAGTATTCGTTGAATAAAATGACAATAGTGTTCAGTTATGATACAAAATATAGTAAAACCTACCTTAGATAAAATTCCGGGAGGTTTCAACATATCTAAGGCCTCTTTAACCGATTTTTCGGAAGGATAACGTGAGCTGTTTGTTTCACTTGTGGTCGCCGCCATGTTTACTTGATATACTTGACAGTCGAAGCCTCTCTTGTGTACGGACGTAACCATAGCAATGGAATAATTTTCGAGTGCTTTTCTTCGAGCGAAAAGGCATAGGTTGAATTTTAACTTTTTTTCCAATGTGAAAAGGAGGAAAAAATAAAGAAGCGGAGAAAATTAGGAGAAGTTAAGTTTTATTCTGTAAAAAAAAAAAAATAAATAAAACTAACATAAAAATAAAAAGATCAGAGTTGGGGACGGACTGGTAACGCATAAATTGGCATAAATTATGATTGGTAAGAGGGAGCAAGAGACTGGATCCGATTACGCGGGAAATTCAGTAATGGCGGCATCCGGAGACGAAATAGAAGACAACGACTACGAAGCGTTGGCTTATCAACAGGTTATAATTTCCTTGACCGACAACTTTTTCATGGTTTAGCAATATTTAAATATATATGTTTGTATATATTCTAGCGTTTGAAAGCAGCTCTTCATTACACAGTCGGCCGCATTTGCGAGAAAACAGGTGAGCGAATTTACGTGTTGATGCACGCAGAAAGACTGCTGATCTTGGATGAAGTAGAATAAGCTTAAGCTTTGAACTTAAATTTATAGAGGCAGCTTGTGTTTCTGACAATACAAAGACATGTTTAAGCCTTACTTTTAAGTTAATTAGGTTTTATTGGCATCCAAACAACTCAATCTTGTTGTAGTTTTGGTTTTAGTATTTCTAAACGAGCTGGAGTAACCATTTCGGACCGTGGAAATCAGTATTCACAGTCAGTGTATTCCCCCAACATGTTCTGCTGGTTGGCCCTGGGGTCATACCCTAGGGGCAAGCCGATGATGTGTGTTATGATTAAATGTTGTTTCTTCTCTGCTAAACAGCATCGTCAACAATGTAATATCAACTTACCCCACCACACTTGATTTTTGTAGGGGATGAAACAGGAGTACAGTTTTCTAGGAGGTTTATTGCTGCCCTTACAGAGACGACATTCAAGCAGTGTGGTATGTTAATTTCACTAAAACATATATTCACTCTTTCTAATGTGTAGATGTTGTGGTTAATTTTTTATCTCTGGTAATTTTTATTTTTCTTTTGTTTTTGGGTATGGTAATGTATGCTAATGAAGTTGAAACCAAAGAAAAATGATAAAAAATTATCTACAATATATACTTTGTTTGAAGACACTAAATCGGGCAGAATAACAAAAGCATTACTGGAAAACAATTCTCAAAGAAAAAGACTTCTACACTTTTTCCTTTTATGAAATGCTGAGAAATGAAAGTACAATGTCCCTGAGCAAAGTTCAGCCAAAGAGGTTTCATTTGAAAGGTTATACCACAGACTTAGAACTTTACTAGACTCCATTATTCACAGGTTTGAAGGGAGAGGCCATGGAAAGCTTACACACTATTTCCTTGGAATAAAGTATTAGCGGAACCCCATACCTAAGAAAATTTGGTTATCTATCCATCCCAGAAATCTTGGTAATCACATGACTGTAATCTCGTACCCAGATCTCCCACAGCAAAACAGAGTGAGATCTGGGTACGAGATTACACATGACTGTACATCTGTCCGTCTGTCCATCCGTACCACAGGATAACCAATGTAAAATGTCAAACTTTCTAGCTAGTGTGGGAGCCTGTAACCTGTGTTTAACTTGATAACAACCATCCATATTATGGTCAATTGACAGCTGTAAAATGGGGTATCTGTTGACCACAGTCACATGATCGTAATTCATCGAGTTTACATTTTTTTTTTTTTTTTGAGTTTTCCGCTGCATGCTCAAGTGTATGTTTTCACTTCCCTAGTGTTAAGTATAGATTTGTGGATTTCTTTGCAATGGTTTCAAGTCAATTGTCTGAAGTAAATTTAAAATGCATAAACGGGAGCTTTGCTCTAAGCTCTGGCTAAATCTATACACATGTATTGGTGATACATGTAGCAGAAATAACATGTATAGCTTACTAGCATTTTGTAGTTGTTTGTAAAAGTGCTTGCATTTTCTGTTATTTTTGGGTGAGTAACTGTGCTTTTGCTTTCACACCTGCCTAAGTGTTAAGTACTAACATCTGTGAATAAATTTTAAAAACGTTAAGGAGAGGAATACAGTGTATGAAGAAGAGTAAGACTGTGTTACTGGTAGTACACTGGCAGTGATGCTACAAATATTCTCTTTGATATTTTATTTCAGAATCTTTTGCAACAGATTTGGAGCTTTTTGCAAAGTAAGTAAAAAAAAGAAACCCTGTAAGCTATATATATGTCGATCAGTAGCTTCCCACAAGGGTTGATACTCTGTGGCTGGCCACCAGGGACCAGAGGCCATTTGTTTAAAAATGCCTAACAAAACTTCATACTTCAAAAGCACAGAGGTCTGGTCCATGGATGTGATTTTTCAGAGAATGTAAGTAATGTTTTTTAAAATCCACCCTGCCAGGCAAGATACAAAAAGCAAATCTCAACAAATCCCCCTGGGATCCTGTGGGTACCCTTAGGGTCAACCCCTAGGGAAGCCACTGATCAATGCACAAGGATATACTTTGCATTTGATTCATTTCTAGAGGTGGAGTGGGTTATTGCAGATTGTCTTATGGACTTAACCAAGCACTTTAGTTTCTTTGTTTGTAGTGATAGCTTTCCCCTTGTGATGAAGGATTTTTTATAATGTTCTTAGGGCATTTGTTTATTCTTTTATATTTAGACACGCAAAAAGGACCCAAATAAATGCTGATGATGTTTTATTACTTGCACGGAAAAGTTCAACTTTGGTGAGAGGAAATCTGTTATTTGTACAGGCGATTTTGATATAATATCATATAAATAAGCTTTTATGGGTATCTGCTACATTGTAACAGTTGGTGTAGAATTCAGTGGGTTTGTTAGAGCACAGCCTTAGATCTGCTAGGGATTTTTAGTACCTAGTGTTAATGAAGAATACGGTGGCAAAATGCAGCTAAACACCTAGCCTGCAAAAAGGCTCCCAAGTGGAGCTGGGTAGAAAAGAAAATTGTTAGCTGAATGTGGTCTGGAGAAGAGAAGCAGAGGAAAAAGAGGCTTTTTCTCCCTAGGCCACTCTCAGCTCGTGCTCTTTTTCGCCCTGCTCCTCTTGGGAGCCTGTTCGCAGGCTCGCTGAACACCCAGTCTGAAAATTAGGCTATGGGGTTAGAGTGCCTGTAGCACCCGCCGACCTAAACATTCACGGACACTTTCAGGCGCTGGTATTTAAATGTTTTGGTCAGTTGGTTGTTTCGTGATACAGATACTGCTAATATTCTCACTTCATACTCATAAATACTTTGTTCTAGTATGTTCTCCTCTCTGAGGGGTTAAATGAAGCCTAAACCCCACCCAGACTGGTCTCCTTTAGGGGTTTATTTTTTTTTCCAAACCGTATAGTTGCCACCTCCCCCCGCTCCCTCCCTCCAGGTTCATGTTCTTTAGGAATGACCAGCAAATTTCCTCTTTCTGGTGACTCTGGATACCTGAAGAATAATACATTAGACTTTAATATCATTTTATAGGCTGCACACATGGAGAATATGAGTAAAGAACTGATCAAAGCACATGAAGCAGACAGAGCTAACAGAAAAACCAAAAAGGCAAAGAAGAGTAAACCAGCTGAGGAGGCCACTTCTACAGCAATTGAAATTGAAGATGAAACCTGAAAAGTCTACCAATTTAACAGAGATAAATGTTTTAAACAACATTTGTAGAGAAGCAGTTTTAAAAGCTGCAAAACGGTGGACTGCTGATATGAAGATGCGCTAGACCTACCTAGTGAAAAATACTCTTCTTTTTTAAACTAAAATAGATGACCTTAGCCGACTGTTGGTCCAATTTCTAATAAATGGTCCATATTTCTCCCGGAAAACATATGTAATTTCATTCATTTTCAACCAGTTGCCGAACTAGGGGAGCAGCCTCCGAGGTCTAGGTCCCCCGTACTTTTACACCAAACTGAGGCCTTGAGAAAAGCCTTTCACATAGCCGGCGTAGCTGGTATTGTGTAGGCGCGATTAAAGTTTTGGCGGCGGAGCCGTGATGAAAAAAAAGGGAGTGGGGACGAGGCGTTTGAAACGCTACGAATTGCTCGCGGCTTCGCGACTAGTACACAATACCGCCAGCTACGCAGGCTACCTTTTACAAAGCTCCTTCCGTCGTGAATAAGGTCAGGATTTTGTTGGCGCTATTACTAAAGGAAATTTGAGGAAACTTACTAGTTATTTCCACTTGCAAATAATTTGTAGTTCCTTCCGTACGTTTCCGCTTCTTTCGTCGAAAAACTCTCTTTCACACTTCGCTTACCGATCCCCGTGGGCGTCACGCGCGATGCGAATTCCGACAAAATTATAGACCTCGCATACGCGACAACCAGGAATAAATGAGATAGCGTCGTCTGCTTAACGTTAAGCTTCGTGCAAACGGACGCTAAATTGTTGGATATTACATGCTGAAAGTTTGAAACCGGTCAAACTTTTCAGCCAACAACTCCCAACATTTCCTTTGTTCCGTTATCTTTGGCCCAACGAAGTTAGGAGTTGTTGCGTCCGTTTGCACGTAGCTTTATTAAAAAAACGTTAGGTGTGATAATGATCCGTTCGTTACTTGGGGTGTTTGCTGGAAAACAATAAATGGTAATAAACTCCGACTCAATATACACGTTAATTTTATTCAAAACTTCTTCAGAATTTTACAATGTCGCACTTAGTGCAATGAGCAATATTTACACTCTTTTCCTTTTCCTTTTTTTTTTATAACACAACCAGATGAAATTTGTGAAAGAATGAATTCAGACAAGTATCCGCCATGCACGTTTACACACAAGAGTATGAAAATCACTAAATAAATAAATAAATACAAAGGTTGATCAACAAAAATATAAATCTAGAAGCTCCCCAAGTAGACTTGTGGCGGAACGATTTTGTAACAAAACAACCGGACACTTATTCAAGGCCTCATTTAAAGCTGCTTTACTACGCAACACACGATGGTAAAAGTCAAACATGAATAGCGAGCACTACTCTCTGCACAGTTGACAAATATTCCAAGCTTCTTAATATTTCAAAACAACTACAACGTACGAATGATAAAATGGGGATGCTGAAAACAACCTGAAGCTGTTGTTGTACCTAAGTCATTACATACAATGCGCGATATTTTAGTAGTTGAGCGCACACATAAGGGCCACTCCTCTTTTGATCCAGTGTCGCTGTGGCTGGTTGCTTGGTACCTCCACTGGAAGAACAAAGTTTGTCGAATGTCCCGTTGTAGACAGAGTACCTAGGGGTCAATAACACAAAAGAATGTAAATGAGGCCATGTCCACACTTATTATATCCACTTTGAAATCACTGGTGATCCGTGCAGTGGAAGTTTACCGCCGCATTTGCCCGTTGAAATTTTTATTGTTTTAAGGTCCAACCAAAAACAGTCTAACAAGCAATTAGGACAGCTATTCGCGTGTGTTGCGTATGACTCTACCCCTACAAGAACCCGGATACTTTTGAAGCCGCATATTTTTTTTCACGAATCGACCTTTTCGCCGCCCACACGAAACTCGTGAATGAGCATCTTTTTGAAACCGCCCTTCAGAGTGGAATAGAGCCCCGTCCACACGAATCGGGGTAAAAAAGTGCGGTCTCAAAAATGTTCGGATTCGTATGGACATGGCCTAAGTGCGCGATTTTCAAATCAAACAATACACTGTACAGCCTTAACTGACTTCTGTTTATTTTCTAGAAGATAACGTAACATATCGATTTATTTGCAAAACAAGCAGCAATACAAGCGGCTCACTTGTTGAAGTAGAATCTCAACGACATGATAACAAAACTTACCGGCTCGGGTCAATGTTTTATACACTGGACATTCGTAAATGCCCTTCTCGGGTTTCTCTCGGTTGGCAGTCGGCTTTAACCAGATGATCGGCATATCAGTGTACAATTCCTTTGGTCGAGACTCGGCCAGCTCGTGTTTATCATAATCCCACCTGGCGCCTTCAAGGAAAAGCCCTCGGATGAAACAGCCGTTACTTGGACGCGAGGTCAGCTCTGCTTCAGTTTTCTTCATCACCTGTTAAGAGAAAAACCACAAACAACACTAAAGGTACCGAAAAACGGGAAACAAAAAAACGTGCACCTCGTTCTGCACCCACCGTGACATTAAA